CGTCGAAACCCTAAGCGGCGGCAGCCGCCATGGTGAAGAGACGCACGGGGCAGCGCGTCAGGCTCTACGTCCGGGGCACCATCCTCGGCTTCAAGAGGTGAGCAACCCCGTTCTTGGCCATGCTCTCGCCGGATCTGGCGATTCATTTCATGGTGAGATTGGGCGGCGCGCTGATGGAGATGTGGGGGTTGATCTGCAGGTCGAAGTCGAACCAATACGAGAGCACATCGCTGGTGCAGGTCGAGGGGGTGAACACCAAGGAGGACGTGGCGTGGTACGGTGTCGCCGCGACGGAAGAAGCCTCCTCCGCTCTTCTCTGCTCGCCGGTACGGACTCCCCCCAACCCCTTCCTCCCGCCCTGGCCGGCCGGCCGAGGTTCCGATCGGATCCCCTCTCGCGCTTCAGGGAGACGGCGCGAGAAGCTCTTCGATCAAGCTTAGCTGTCAAGGATTGATTTATGGATGATTCCTTTGGGAACCTTGTTTAAGTTACAGTCTTGACACAGTAGCTCTTACTCTACCTGTGTGGCAATCATATTGTGTTTGAATGTAGCATAGTATCTGATTATGGTGTTTTTTTAGGTATTTATCTTCAGAAAAGGGATGTGTACAGTATTAGTATTTCCAGGAATCTGATTATGACACCCTGCTATCATGCCCCCCTAAAACACATGAATTTGTTTTACCTTTCCCCCTTCATGGTTACTGGTTTTGTACTTAAGGACACACATGCGTTAGTCGTTAGTATTCACATTTTATTTCTTTTTGCAGGATAGGTAGTATTCACTTTGCTGTTCTGCTTTATACCTGTGGTTAGTCTACTTACTGTTTCTGGAATTGAGGGCACACTTGTGTTGTGTGGTGGTATTTTACTTTTCTGTTTGGTTTTATACCTTTCCATGGTGTATATATGAATGTCCTGAAATCAAATAACCTTCATAGGATAGGAAACTGGTAGTTTAGCTCATATAGATGATCTTATAGTGAACAGCTTCAGTTGTTTGATGCATGTTGCTGCCGTTTATCGCTGCATCTATGTTCATTCAGTATTAGTAGCTCCTTGGATCTGTGCCCATGCATTGTATGCTCTTCTTTCCATATATGCACTGCATTTCTATATGTCAAAGAGCTTACCCTCTGCTGTCATGTTTCCATGGCGCGTGCAAACTATGCAGTGTTGCTGTGGCTCCTGGTGGCGGTGAGCGTGAAGCTGGGGCGGCGCCACATCGCCCACAACGCGGTGGAGCTGATGGAGAGGCGTCTGGCCAAGGACGACTTCCCCGAGTACTACGACGGCAAGACGGGGCGGTACATCGGGAAGCAGTCGCGCAAGTTCCAGACGTGGTTGGTGGCGGGCTACCTGGTGGCCAACATGCTCCTGGACGACCCCTCCAACCTCCGCGCCGTCTCCCTGGAGGACGACGGCCACACCCGAGCAGCATCTAAAGTTAGCATCTGCTGCACTATCGCTGATGATGTTTGTTTAAGGCTGTTGCTTTGCTCTGTGTGATTTTACTCTAGCATGTGTGTTGCATTTTGTCCTGCGCCTTGAGAATGACTAGGATTTATGTTATAGAATTCCAAGTGTAGTCGCAATATATAACATGCCTAAAGTATATGGACTTGTGCAGTGTGTCCATCGAGAGTAGATAGACTATTTCTTTCATAATTCATCTATATATGTTGCTCTTATATGCAAGTACCGATCGAGTACGGACGTGGTACTAGTAGCGACACTGTGCCCGCAATCAATGCACGCTTTCCATCATGTTTGGTCGTTGGTTGTTCGATCGGTGACTTGGTTTACTTCTTCTGTATTACTCCGGTTATACTAGATAGGAAGCTATTCACTTATTTATTTTTACAGGAAGCTAACTTGTTCATGCGAATAGATAGGCATTGGCATCATACATGGCGTGACTTCGTTCCTTATCAAATGAACGAAACATGATTCAGTTTCAGAAACTCGACTCAACATATCAGCAGGAACAGTACAGCGTTTCCAAAGTATCCCCCCAGTTTTTGGGTCAATAGTGGAGTAGGAGTAGGAGTAGCCCACGCTAGCGGTGTTCACGTAGCATTTCTTACCTTTTTATCAAATTTGCATCACATATTTGTTATATATATCAGAATGATTAAGAATCTTAATATTTGACTGTTTTCAGTCATCTTGCAGTTTCTGGGACGAGCTGGAGCACGAATTGCTTTGGCTGTTCGGCAACTCTGAGTGACCACGGTACAGGACGGGTGCCATGGCGGCAGGTACTTGTGTGGTGAGAAGCAACCTCCGGTTGATCATCAGGAAAGGCAGCAAGCATGAGTATTAGTATTTCTGTGACGCTGATGCTCATTGTTGTTGTTGCCCTTTTTAGCTGAAACCCACAAATACAGTTAGAATTTGCCTTGAGATATCTATGTGTCAGTGTCAATACAACTTCTTCAAGGGAATTATCAGGGCCTAACTTATGTGGATGTAGATGCATATTACTACTACTCAATAACCTTCATCTAGTCACCGTTACTGTATGATTAATTCAGAACTAGGATTTTGTTTAAGTAGCTACTGAATCTGCTTGCTTGGTTATGGCAGACATACATGTCTTACAAATTCGTTATTCTTGTTTGAAGCTGAGCTAGGCTACTGCAGTTCCAGCAAAAAACAGGGGAGCCGCTCGTTTTGTTCTTCACTAATAAATTCTTGTTTGAATGCATATCCTAGGGGTGGTGAAGCTGGGAGCCTTTCCTCCCCATAAAAATACTTTGCTCTTCATCATGAGCAATGCCCTTATATAATTAGCTGCTAGGAGTGTTTATATACTTGATCACCACACCTCTACTATTCTAGTTACTTTTGCTTTCTTCTCTGTAGTTGTCGAGGGCATAACAGTTTTATGTGTGGCTTGTTATTTTGTTACCAGCCTACTTTCTTGTGCTCCTGGTCGAGTCTTGTGGAGAAGCAGGGCGAATCGGGCATCATCTCACTTGTGCCTATGTGGTAAGAATAGAACACCACTCTCGCTTGATGTGCATGTATTAGTACAACAAAGCATTCTTACATGGTGATTGTTAGCGACACAACAATTATCTTGCAACATAGCTTGCCAAATTGCTTGCTTGCTTACTATATAACCTGTACTGCTAAACATGTTATCCTACTCCATGATGTTGTATCATTTGCAAATACTCCCGGACATCAGCTCCCATTAGCTATCATCTATACCTCTAAAAGAGGAGTATAAACTGGACTAATCTGTACTCTATTATGCTTGAGACTTGATCCAAGCCGTATTAATTGTTGCCAGTGATGTTATTATCTACTCTAGTGGCTGATGAATCTGTACCTGCCATACCATGTGGAATGACTAATGAATCTGTACCCGAATACCATGTGTAATGATTGTTATTTTTGCATCATTTAAACATTTTTTCTGCTATATAGTTTCTCACTCATGATTGATCTACTGCAGGTGAACGAGGTTTTCAAATGTTGGAAGGAGGAGGACAATAGGAACTTCTGTTATGTCTTAGCATCTAAATTTTTGTTTTAATTTTCTTTGTTGTAGAATAGTTTTGTTTGGCAGTTACTGTTTCTGGGATGTAAAGATATCTTAGATATGTATTGCTGGAATGAATGGTTGTAATATAATAACATTGCATGTTGCCCAAGATAGCTTGTGGTGTGATGTGTGGTAATGTCAATGGCATAATAACTTTTTTTGGATTGGATCAATTTTTTCGGAACTGGGCTAGGCCCGAGTTATATTGGACAATTATTTTTGAGGGAAAATAATGAGAGGCCCAGCAAAGAAATGGCCCAGAAAAATACATGATCAAAAAGAAAATATGCTGTTAAAAGGGCCACACAAAGAAATCAATAAGGTTGAATTGTTAGGCCAGGCCCATGTAGCTAGAGAAAATTAATAGAGAAAATATACAGTAAAAAGGCTGAATTGTTGGGCTAGGCCCATGTAGAAAACCGAATTGGACCGGGCTGAATCTTGTGCCACATCAGCTTACCATGCTGGATGCCTACGTGTCCTGGGGAGGTTGCTAGTGACCAAAACGCCACAGTAGGAATATTTTGATCGTAAACGTCTTCGACCATTCCAGAAGAAAGGTCGATATAGTCAGTTTACGACCGGCAGCTTTTGACCTTTTGTTTTTTGTCACAAAAATGTCACAAATGGAAATTTGTGACCTTTCAGTGACCAATAGTGGTGGTCACAAGTTGACATATTTCTTGTAGTCCGAGCGCCGCCATGTCCTCACGGTCGGTGACCATACCTTCGCCAAGCATGGCCTCCCAAAGGCCCTGCGCGCGCAGGTTGATCTGCATGACCAACGCCCACTCGATGTAGTTCGTGGAGGTCAGGGTGGGGTAGACGATCGTGCCGCCGTGCCCGCGGGCCTCCCGGATCACGCGCTCGTGGACGACCACTTCGCCCGCGTTCCTCCTGACGCGACTGCGCCTGCGGCTCCGGCCCCGCGTCTCTGTGCACGCCTGTGGCGTTGCCTCCCCGTTGTGTGCCTGGGCAGCCGTGGCTGATGCCTCGCCGGCGCCGGCCTCTTTGCTGCCCGCCATGGTCCCTCGTCGATGGTGGCTCTGATGCACGGGCATGTCCGTGGACTCATACACCGTGTGCATGTGTGTAGGGGCAGGCCGTTGGCGAGCCATGCGGGGTGATCGCGTGTGATCTGTTGGAAGCCCGCCGTGAGCTGCGTGCGTCGGAGCACGTCGTGGGCACGAGCGAGGCGAGCGGATCGCGGGCGCGAGGGGGGAGGGAGCGTGATTGCATGCCCAGTCCCTGGCTTCGGGTATAAAACCCGTGCGGTGATCGTTGTAATGAAGCGGTGGTGTGCTCGAGTTCGAGCTTGAGTGGAGTGGCCGTTCGTGCGCCTGAAAATCCCCAGTCCACCGCGTGTTTTTCTTCCTTCTTCCTTCTTCCTCCTCGGTTCGTGTCACAGAGAGAGGGAGCGCGAGGTAGAGTGCAGCTAGGGCTAGCTAGGGTTTAGGGTTTGCAACAACATGCACACGACCAGCACGCACGAGGCGATGCACGCACGGCTGCGGCCGGCCAGCATGCGCACGCACAGCACAGCAGCAGCCCGAGCAGCACGCACGCTGCACGCGCTCGACCAGTAGGCGCGCGGCCAGGCAACCAGTGCAGCGGCGGCGCCCAGGACGGGCAAGGTTAGCCAGCACGCGCGCGGCGGCCTGCCAGCATGGCGAGCGCGAAGACGATGTCGGCAAGCACGGAACCGCGCGCGCACGAGCTCTGTCCTCGTCGAGCGCGAGCTCCATCCAGGGCGCGCAAGAGCTCCATCCCCAGGCCGCGGCGCACGAGTCTGGCCCCAGCTGCTGCGCGTGCGGCGGCCTGTCAGCACGCCCGCTGGTGCACGCGGCCGCGCGAGGTCTTCAGCCGCCTCCCTCCTCTTTGTCCATGTCGTCTCCAGGAGCCTCCTCCGGCCACCCCGTTGTCGTCGCGAGGCACCACCGGCGTCGCTGAGTGCTCTTCGTGAGAGAGATCAGTGAGGAAAAAGGTTTAGGTGGCTGCAGGTGGAACCGAGCGGGGTGCCCGGGCGCATCAGGTCGCCCTCATATCGTCCCTATATTTGGTTCCGATTTGAGAGGTGCCGGTCAGTATGGACATTTAGAAATAAAATAAGGGATTTGGTTAGATCACCTTTTTTTGTCTGGACACGGATCGAGCGGATGTTTTGTATGTTTGAGGGAATAGAGGATCTGGCTGTCAATGTTCTAAGCTGGACCTTAACCCAGTATGTGTAACTGGATCCGTGGAGGCCAGTAAAAACCAAGCTGTCCTGGGCAGACGTTTTGACAACTAGATGTTACCCTTCACATTGTCGCGGGAATAATTTGTAACATATATCAATGTGATTCATTGTATGAAACATATATAAAGGGATAAAACTAAAACTACATATAAGTTATTATAAGTTATTATGTTTGATCACTATATAGTTGTAAAATATTTATTAAATATAAATAGAATAATTGAATAGAAATTCGCATGTTGAGAGGTCTTTTTTCATGCAGGTTTCATGATTGAAGTGACATGCATGTTGTGCAATGATGTGGCATGCTTGCATGTTGAGAGAAATAGTTAGTTGGAGCTAGCTATTTAGACACAAAAAATTGATCTGCAAGTGGTTCAGTTCTTTGTCATATGGACGGACTTGTTTTCTTGGGAGTGCCGCTTTGGGATTCGGTATGGTAAGAGCAGATCAAACATTAAAGGAGTTAAGTGCATTCAAGAATTTGTTTGTTGTTGCTCTGTATGTGATTTCTGTATACTAGCCGATAATTTCACGACCAAGGTTTAGATGGATAGCTTGGCAAACCAACTAAGAAAAACAGCTCATCATGCAGAACACTATGTCCAGCAGTGATAAGATTACTTCGGAAGATGATCAGGGACGGTACATTTGTGAGAGCAGGACACCACAGTCCACACAACTATACTCTGCTTAGTACTCCCTTTATAAACAATATAAGAGCATTTTAGATCACTACTTTACTTTACAGAGGGAGTACATGCGCCCCCAAATTACATTTTCCATCTCACAGACACATCGATCTGTACACTCGAGAATTAGTATCTTGTCAAGCCGATTCCGGGAATCATGGGCTAGGTTCGCTGCGTATTGCACATCGTGGTCTCTGCCTGGGGGTGAGCGTCGTGCCTGAGCTCGACTTGTCCCTCATCCCTGTTTCCGCCATTATGCCTGGAAAGTTGTGAATGCACTGATTTTTCGCATTGTGCTGGAGGCACATATCCATCCCTATGTCCCCTTGCTTGACTAGGTGGCTGGGGAGGAGGCATATCGCGATTCCGATGTGGCACGTTTTCATGGCACCACCTTGGCTGCTCGTTATGGCTACGGTCTCGACGTGGCTCGTCGTAGTTCCGACTTTGTTGCTCATGTTGGATGTGCCCTCAACGCGGCTCATTATCGCAGTTCCGTCGTGGTTCTGGATCATGGCTACGGTCCCTATTGCGATTGGCTCCATCGTCATTCTTCGTGTATGGTGCAACGTCATTTTTGCGGTGTTCCCTCTTTTCTCTGCCATGGTCGCGGTCTCGAGTAGACCCTGTCCTAGACTTGTCTCGTCCCCTGGGAGACGATTTTCTCCTTGGGCCCTAATACAGCCGGACGTCTAGGAGAAGAGGATCATGGGGGCCGCCAAGAGCAGCAAAGAGCAACCCGTTCTTGGAGTATGTGAGATGTGTGGTGTTCCCATGGCTTGGGGATTTTGAGGTGGTCAAGGAGAAGGACGTTGGTGCTAGAACGCTCAGATGTGTGGGGAGGTTTGTGCAGGAGTATAAGCGGGGTAAGCTAGATCCTCGTGACGTGAAGCTGGCGCTTGCGATGGCGATTAACAAGATGTTGAAGCCTGTCTGTGGTCACTTTGGAAGCGACACGAGCTTATGCGTAAGGTTTGTGGAGAGCGTGTGCGTGGATTCTGAGCCCTCTGTAGTTTCTTGTGTTAATCGTTTATATGATCAAAATTCCATGTCCGAATGAATGCATTTGGGACTTATGTGAAACAATTATATATATGTGGTCTAATAGCTGCATCCACATTGATTTAGAAGAATGTTGTCTCTAATAGCTGCATCCAAACTAATTAAGAGAAAATTATCTCTAATAACTTTCCTCGTCTATTATGCCGAGACATGGTCGGTTTTTTCGCACTATTTGCTCATTATCGTTGTTCCCTTAAAGTAGCTTCGCAGAGAATACTTCTAAAGTCTCACAGGAACCCACGAGGAAGGTACTGGTTAAAGATGAAACCCAATGACACCAACAGTGGAAGCCAAAGATGAACGAACAACAATGACGTTGTTTTATTAAAGTACAATACATAGTTTAAGCATAATAACATAAATGGGAAAATACATACTACTTTATTTAATTCTGCAAACATCACAACCAGGGTACCATTCAGGCATGTAAAATGATGTATTCGTAACTACCATGGACATGGGTGGTTACTTGGCACAGTCATCCACAACCACAAAGAGCGTATCCGGTGACTCATCGCGTGCAAGCCACCTATTCACGTTGAATGTCTTCTCCTTTTGGGACAAATTTTTTTGGTCGATTTGGGTGAACACGACTTTGTCCACAAACCAACCGGGTTTGTTACCTTTACCATTAGACTCGAGCAACATCCTGCAAGGTTTGGACGGTAAGCACTTACCGCTTCCCTTAAATGTGTCGGTGTGTCCTTTCTCAAAGTTGTTGTGGCCCTTCTGGCCCCAAGGTTTCAGGCTCTTGATAACCAGCTTCTTGCCATTTGCGGTGCTCACTGACAGAGATATACGGGCGTCGGTGCCCGCATCATCTTTATCTCCTGTCGTGACCAATATAACGAATTTGCACTGTGCGTAGGCACCGCTTGCAGTGAGAGCGAGGAGAAATAGGGCGAAGAAAATCTTCATTCTGGCCTGTGCGTGTAGGATGGCGCTAGTAGTAGTACCAAGGATGGTGTGATGAAGGTGAGCACAAATGTGAGGTCTATTTATAGCTGTACGTAATGAGGTCTATGCACGTATTATACGTGCCAAGTGAAAGAGTGGGATGAGCAGAGCGAGCTGAGGATGGCGTGGTCAGCAGATTACTTTCAAACAAAATACATGTACGTGCCAAGTGAAAGAGCTGAGGATGGCGTGGTCAACAGATTACTTGTGAAACAAGATACGGATCTTCCAGCACTTGCGTGCAATCAGATAACTCAGAGCGAGATGAGGATGGCGTGGTCAGCAGATTAATTGTCAAACAAAATACAGGTCTTCCAGCATTTGCGTGGTCATGTGCGTGTGAACGCTGCACATGCATTAGGATGGAGTAACATTGTTTGCTCCGTTGATTATTAACTGTTGGTTGCTTGCTTTGGTTCATGCCTGAATGAATGTACTAAATGACGCATGTTCAATAGGATAGGACACGCAAGCCGTCAAGATTGAATGTACTAAAATGATGCGTAGTATAAGATCACTTAAGCCTCCTGCAAGACTCCCGATTCCTAGAGATATGGACGACCCGATTATCTAAGTAAACTAACCAACAGCGGCAGGAGGTTAAACAATTCGACACGCGGGACATCCATCTCATTAGTTAAGTGATAATGCACTTAATTAGCGGTACACCAAACTGCTCCGCCGGTCGAAGAACTTGCTGAGTAATTTTTTTTAAAAAGAGGTTAACCCCTGGCGTCTGCATCAATTGATGCATACAATTATCTTTATTAATTATTTCATGAAAGTCTGACAAAAACTTACATCAAACCACCCGAAACCACCACTCACACCTACAAACTTGATAATGCGGAGTGCTCTCAGTCCTCATATCTATAACCGATGTCAATGTCGATCCATCCATATAACGTATCGGAACCAACAACCGGTGCGGTAAACTTAAAGCGTACATCGCATGCACACGTTTTAGAAGCCGCCATCATCATCGAACCGCTGTCTCATCTTTAGAAAAGAGATCCACATCATCCTTGCTAGTCCGACCAACCGTCGACGCCACCACGGCGGCCAACGACACCACCGCTCTGCTCTCGTGCATCCCGACGCGGAGAATCTGGAAGATCTGTCGTGCGTAGCACCTGCTGACTATACATGACAAAGCCACCTGTCGGCCAGGCATGACTTGACATGTCCACCGAAGCTCCATGCAAGACGAAACCGCTCCACCTTCTTCCTCTGCCTTCCAGCGCTGCTCCACAAATGATACTCCCAAGAGAGAAACGACACCGTAGTGCCGCCTTCGTCTGATCTGAAACACCAGATTCTAGGGTTTCCCTCAGAGCAGCACGAGTGGGTTGACAGTAGTTACTCGACGATGCCTTCATCAAGGTAACGGCTCAAAACGCCGCCATCGCCTACAGTTAGCTTGGTTTTCACCGGCAACCATGTCTCCCCGACTCGCAGCCGGGACTAGATGACGGATCTCCAGATCCGACCACCCATCCTCAGGCCGACCACCTCCGACGGAGGAGATGACAACCACCTCCGGCTGCACTGGCCAGAACAGATCTGACTGAAGGTGCCGCCAAGCAGTCCACCAGGCCCTCCACGCCGCCAATGATCCGAAGCCGGATGACGCGCCGCCGCAGCAGAAGTCGCCACCGCTCGAACCAGGCAAGCTGCCACCCGAGACCGGGCTGCCCGACGCGTCGCAGTCACCGTCGCCCATGGGATGGCCAACCACCACCGCTGCAGCAGAAGTCGCCGCCGCTCGAACCAGGCAAGCTGCCGCCCGAGACCGGGCTGCCCGACGCGCCGCAGTCATAGTCACCCGTGGCAGGGCTGTACCCTCTACTTGAACATGATGCTTCATGCTTCGTATTATTATCCAATGATATGTTGCCATCCTATGATGTCTGAGTAGATTTTCGTTGTCCTATCGGTGATTGGTGAATTACTATGATTGATTTAATTTGCTTGTGGTTATGTTGCTGTCCTTTGGTGCCCGTCATGTGAGCACGCGCGTGGATCACACCATAGGGTTAGTTATATGTTGATAGGACTATGCATTGGAGGGCAAGTTTGACAGAAGCTTCAACCTAGCATAGAAATTGATGCATACGGGATTGAAGGGGGACCAATATATCTTAATGCTATGGTTGGGTTTTACCTTAATGAACGTTAGTAGTTGTGGATGCTTGCTAATAGTTCCAATCATAAGTGCATTGAAGTCCAAGTCAGGGGTGGCATGCTAGCAGTGGCCTCTCCCACATAAAACTTGTTATCGGTCTAGTGAAGTAGTCAATTGCTTAGGGACAATTTCACAACTCCTACCACCACTTTTCCACACTCGCTATACTAACTTTATTGCTTCTTTATCTAAACAGCCCCTACTTTTTATTTATGTGCACTTCATATTCTTGCAAACCTATCCAAAAACACCTACAAAGTACTTCTATTTCATACTTGTTCTAGGTAAAGCGAACGTTGAGCGTGCATAGAGTTGTATCGGTGGTCGATAGAACTTGAGGGAATATTTGTTCTACCTTTAGCTCCTCATTGGGTTCGACACTCTTACTTATCGAAAGAGTCTACAATTGATCCCCTATACTTGTGGCTTATCACTCGGTTGTGAGGATTCACCTTTCCCTGTTGAGGTGGACATTGGTGGCAGATGGGTGGTGGCCTGGGTTTCTTGTGGTGGCTTGGAGGGCCGGCGGGGTGGCCGTAGGTGGTTGCATGGGTCGCCAGTGCGGCCATGGCTATCCTGGCGGTGAAGGGTTTGTGATCCGTGGCGGGGCGCGGTTAGTGGTAGTGCCCTGTCTTTTCTTGGGTCCGAACCGGCAGCGCGTAGGTTGCCCGCACGAGGGGATGACGATGATCTGGGGCTCCTACTCGGCCGGGCCAGCTTTGGGTCCGAGGCAGGTCGAAGGTTCTGCTCTGGATAGATGGGGTAGGCTCGGTCTAGGTGGTGCCCGCTGAGGGTCCATTGCTCCTCCCGGGGGCACGGTGGGTTGCCGTGGTGGTCATAGTATCGGAGTGTCATCACTCAGATCGGTGTCGGTGACCACATACATGGTGTCGTTTGAGTTTGCAATGGACGTGCTCGGCCGTGGCCGTCGGCAGTCACGAAGTTGTTCCCCAGTACACCTAGATTGGCCTAGGACTCAAGTGTGAGTACCTCCTATGGTGGAGGTGCTCACCCAAACTCGGTGGTTGATGTCGGGCTAGGAGTAGATTGTTGTCTCTGCTCGTCCTACCATGGTTGGGTGCACTGAGAAGTGGGCGGTGTATGGACTTTCGCGACAGGAGCGCTGCGGATGTTCTCGGAAGGCAGGCTTCACGGGTGGCTTTCCGGCGGGCTCCATGGTAGCGATGGTGACTCCATTGTTGGGGAACGTAGCAGAAATTCAAAATTTTCTACGCATCACCAAGATCAATCTATGGAGTAATCTAGCAATGAGGGGAAGGAGAGTGCATCTACATACCCTTGTAGATCGCTAAGCGTAAGCGTTCAAGTGAACGGGTTGATGGAGTCGTACTCGTCGTGATCCAAATCACCGATGATCCTAGTGCCGAACGGACGGCACCTCCGTGTTCAACACACGTACAGCCCGATGACGTCTCCTACGCCTTGATCCAGCAAGGGGAGAAGGAGAAGTTGGGAAGACGCCTTCCAGCAGCAGCACGACGGCGTGGTGGTGGTGGAGGAGCATGGGACTCCAGCAGGGCTTCGCCAAGCACTACGAGAGACGAGGAGGGAGAGGGGTAGGGCTGCGCCAACAGGGAGAGAAAATCACATGTGTTGGGCAGCCCCAAACCTCAAGTATATATAGGGGGAGCGGAGGGGCTGCGCCCCCACCTAGGATTCCCTCCCTAGGGGTGGAGGCCAGCCCTAGATCCCATCTAGGGGGCGGCCAAGGGGGAAGAGAGGGGGGCGCACCACTAGGTGGGCCTTAGGCCCATCTGGGCCTAGGGTTTGCCCCCTTCCCCTCTTGGAGGCGCCTTGGGCCTTGGTGGGAGGCGCCCCAGCCCACCTAGGGGCTGGTCCCTTCCCACTATTGGCCCATGTAGGCCTCCGGGGCTGGTGGCCCCACCTGGCGGACCCCTGGACCCCTCCGGTGGTCCCGGTACACTACCGGTGATGCCTGGAACAGCTCCGGTGGCCAAAACCATACTTCCTATATATCAATCTTTACCTCCGGACCATTCCGGAACTCCTCGTGATGTCCGGTATCTCATCCGGGACTCCGAACAACATTCGGTAACCGCGTACATACTTTCCCTATAACCCTAGCGTCATCGAACCTTAAGTGTGTGGACCCTACGGGTTCGGAAGTCATGCAGACATGGCCGAGACAACTCTCCGATCAATAACCAACAGTGGGATCTAGATACCCATGTTGGCTCCCACATACTCCACGATGATCTCATCGGATGAACCACGATGTCAAGGACTTAATCAAACCCGTATACAATTCCCTTTGTCTATCGGTACGATACTTGCCCGAGATTCGATCGTCGGTATCCCGATACCTTGTTCAATATCGTTACCGGCAAGTCTCTTTACTCGTTCCGTAACACATCATCCCGTGATCAACTCCTTGATCACATTGTGCACATTATGATGATGTCCTACCGAGTGGGCCCAGAGATACCTCTCCGTTTACACGGAGTGACAAATCCCAGTCTCGATTCGTGCCAACCCAACAGACACTTTCAGAGATACCTGTAGTGTACCTTTATAGCCACCCAGTTACGTTGTGACGTTTGGCACACCCAAAGCACTCCTATGGTATCCGGGAGTTGCACAGTCTCATGGTCTAAGGAAATGATACTTGACATTAGAAAAGCTTTAGCATACGAACTACATGATCTTGTGCTAGGCTTAGGATTGGGTCTTGTCCATCACATCATTCTCCTAATGATGTGATCCCGTTATCAACGACATCCAATGTCCATGGTCA